ATCCGTGCCAACTCCAGCATCATGCACGTGAAGAAGATTCTCGGTGAGTACCTGGCGCGCGCTTCAGGGCCGTCAATGGCTTCGCAAACGGGCCCAATGGCTCCTTTTGCGCTTACTCAAAGAACCCTCGCTGACTCGGCTCTCTTCGCTTTCTACAGTCGCCAACCGTGGTGAAATTCGTAAGTCACAGCTGACCCATTCCCTTGATCGGACCCGCAATCGGCTAACATGTGAACAGCCATTCGTGTATGCTGCCCTTCCATTCCTTCCAACCGACCGTCCAATTTTAGACACTGCCAAGCTAACGCGAATACCCCATGATAGATTTTCAGAACTGTGAGTCCTGGCCCTCGGCATTGGTCGATTTGTTTTGTCTGGGATACAGCGACTAACCCTCACTAGGCTCACGAGCTGTCTCTGCACACTGTTGCAGTCTTCAGGTACCCCTCACTTGAATCCACGGTCCACCGGCGCGAGTGTTCATAAACTAACTCTCTCAGTTATGAGGATCGGTTGAGCATGCACCGACAGAGTACGAGACTACCCTGTTCCATGCTTCAATGATCACCTTGCTGACCACGTTCCACAGAGGCCGATGAAGCCTACGTCATTGGCAAGCGAGGACAGTACACCCCTGTCGCCGCGTACCTGGCTGGTGATGAGATTATCAAAATTGCCGTTGAGCACGGCGTGCAGATGATCCACCCTGGTACGACTAAACCTTCGGTATCCGGGATTCCCCACGCTAACTTGGTCCCCAGGATACGGTTTCCTCTCCGAGAACGCCGAGTTTGCCCGCAATGTCGAGAAGGCTGGCCTCATTGTAAGTCTAAATCTACCCCACCACTCCCGTCATGTCCGTGCACTAACCCCGGACCTAGTTCGTCGGCCCCTCTCCCGACGTGATCGATGCTCTCGGTGACAAGGTCTCTGCCCGAAAGCTTGCCAACGCTGCCAACGTCCCCGTCGTCCCTGGTACCAAAGGTGCTGTCGAGCGGTACGAGGAGGTCAAGGAATTCACTGACAAGTATGGCTTCCCCATCATCATCAAGGCTGCCTTCGGTGGTGGTGGCCGAGGTATGCGAGTCGTCCGGGAGCAGGAGAGCCTGAAGGAGTCCTTCGAGCGTGCCACCTCCGAGGCCAAGACTGCCTTCGGTAACGGCACCGTCTTTGTCGAGCGATTCCTTGACAAGCCCAAGCACATCGAGGTCCAGCTTCTCGGTGACAACCACGGCAACATTGTCCACCTGTACGAGCGTGACTGCTCCGTCCAGCGACGACACCAGAAGGTCGTTGAGATTGCCCCTGCCAAGGACCTCCCCGCCGATGTCCGTGACAACATTCTTAACGATGCTGTCCGTCTGGCCAAGACTGCTGGCTACCGCAATGCAGGCACTGCGGAGTTCCTGGTTGACCAGCAGAACCGCTACTACTTCATCGAGATCAACCCTCGTATCCAGGTCGAGCACACCATCACTGAGGAGATCACTGGTATCGACATTGTCGCTGCTCAGATCCAGATCGCTGCTGGTGCTACTCTTGGCCAGCTCGGTCTTACCCAGGACCGCATTTCCACCCGTGGTTTCGCTATCCAGTGCCGAATCACTACCGAGGATCCCGCCCAGGGCTTCCAGCCTGATACTGGCAAGATCGAGGTTTACCGCTCTTCTGGTGGTAACGGTGTCCGTCTGGACACTGGTAACGGTTATGCCGGTGCTGTCATCACTCGTAAGTGTACACATACATCGATTCACTAAGACGTTACTAACTCCAAATTAGCCCACTACGATAGCATGCTTACCAAGCTGTCCACACATGCCAGCACATACGAGATTGCCCGCAGAAAGTCTCTGCGTGCTCTGATTGAGTTCCGTATCCGAGGTGTCAAGACCAACATCCCCTTCCTGGCTTCCCTCCTCACCCACCCCACCTTCATCGATGGAAACTGCTGGACCACCTTCATCGACGACACTCCTCAGCTCTTCGACCTCATTGGCAGCCAGAACCGTGCCCAGAAGCTGCTGGCTTACCTCGGTGACGTTGCCGTCAACGGCAGCAGCATCAAGGGCCAGATCGGCGAGCCCAAGTTCAAGGGTGAGATCGCCGTCCCTGAGCTCATCAACTCTGCTGGCCAGAAGATCGACACCACCCTGCCCTACCAGAAGGGATGGCGAAACATCATCCTTGAGCAGGGCCCCAAGGCCTTTGCCAAGGCTGTCCGCGATTACAAGGGTACCCTTCTCATGGATACCACCTGGCGTGACGCCCACCAGTCTCTCCTGGCTACCCGTGTCCGTACCGTTGATCTCCTGAACATCGCCAAGGAGACCAGCCATGCACTCTCCAACCTCTACTCTCTTGAGTGCTGGGGTGGTGCCACCTTCGATGTCGCCATGCGATTCCTCTACGAGGACCCCTGGGACCGACTCCGCAAGATGCGAAAACTCGTCCCCAACATCCCCTTCCAGATGCTTCTCCGTGGTGCCAACGGTGTTGCCTACGCCTCGCTGCCCGACAACGCCATTGACCACTTCGTTGACCAGGCCAAGAAGAACGGTGTTGATATCTTCCGTGTCTTTGATGCTCTCAACGACATCAACCAGCTTGAGGTCGGTATTAAAGCAGTTCACAAAGCTGGGGGAGTTGTTGAGGGTACCGTGTGCTTCTCCGGAGATAGTGAGTCTTCTCCCCTCGATTATTAGTAACCTCTGCTGACCATACATGTAGTGTTGAACCCCAACAAGAAGTACAACCTCGAGTACTACCTCGACCTTGTCGAGAAGCTCGTCAACCTCGACATTCACGTCCTGGGTATCAAGGATATGGCTGGTGTTCTCAAGCCCCATGCCGCTACCCTCCTGATCGGCTCTATCCGCAAGAAGTACCCCGATCTCCCCATCCACGTCCACACCCACGACTCTGCCGGTACCGGTGTGGCCTCCATGGTTGCTTGCGCCAAGGCTGGTGCTGATGCTGTCGATGCTGCCACTGACAGCCTGTCTGGCATGACCTCTCAGCCCAGCATCAACGCCATCATTGCCTCGCTTGAGGGTTCTGACCTTGACCCTGGTCTGGATGCCAAGCTTGTCCGATCCCTCGACGTCTACTGGTCCCAGCTCCGCCTGCTCTACTCTCCCTTCGAGGCCCATCTCGCCGGCCCCGATCCCGAGGTTTACGAGCACGAGATTCCTGGTGGTCAGCTGACCAACATGATGTTCCAGGCTTCTCAGCTTGGTCTTGGATCTCAGTGGCTTGAGACCAAGAAGGCCTATGAGCACGCCAACGATCTCCTTGGCGACATTGTCAAGGTCACCCCCACCTCCAAGGTCGTCGGTGATCTTGCCCAGTTCATGGTCTCTAACGGCCTCTCCCCTGAGGACGTCAAGGCTCGTGCCTCTGAGCTCGATTTCCCCGGCTCCGTTCTGGAGTTCCTTGAGGGTATGATGGGTCAGCCCTACGGCGGCTTCCCCGAGCCTCTGCGATCTGATGCCCTCCGTGGCCGACGCAAGCTCGACAAGCGACCTGGTCTGTACCTCGACCCCGTCGACTTCACCAAGACCAAGCGCGATCTTGCCAAGAAGTACGGTGCCCCCATCACCGAGTGCGACATTGCCTCGTACGTCATGTACCCCAAGGTCTTTGAGGACTACAAGAAGTTTGTCGCCCAGTACGGCGATCTTTCCGTCCTGCCCACTCGATACTTCCTTTCTCGCCCTGAGATTGGTGAGGAGTTCAACGTTGAGCTCGAGAAGGGCAAGGTTCTTATCCTCAAGCTCCTTGCTGTCGGCCCCCTGTCCGAGAACACTGGCCAGCGTGAGGTCTTCTTCGAGATGAACGGCGAGGTCCGACAGGTCACCGTTGTTGACAAGAAGGCCGCCGTTGAGAACATTAGCCGACCCAAGGCTGATGCTGGTGACAGCAGCCAGGTTGGCGCTCCCATGTCTGGTGTGCTGGTCGAGCTCCGAGTCCACGAGGGCTCCGAGGTCAAGAAGGGTGACCCTCTTGCTGTCCTCTCTGCCATGAAGATGGTGAGTAACTCTATCATGTGTATTTGTAAACAGTTGCTAACTTTGATTCCAGGAAATGGTCATCTCTGCTCCCCACAGCGGAAAGGTTGCCAGCCTCCAGGTCCGGGAGGGTGACTCGGTCGACGGCTCCGACCTTGTCTGCCGCATTGAGAAGGCTTAATTACACGCAAAAGGAGATTGAAATGTTGCTTTGCAGTAAAAGGGTTGGGAAGAATTGCTTTATGGGTATGGATAACTGAGCGGAGTACCTCACAGAGAAGCTGATGGGAGAAAGCTCTGGGTTCGGCGCGAGGAGACGTCCTATGAATGAATAGCCTTTTGAACAGGACTTTGAATACAATTATGAATAGCTTCAGTCGTTAGGATACCTTTTGAATCAGAAGTTGCGTTCTGAAGAGTATCAAGTAGGCACCTTTGAGACGGGGGGTGACATGTCTTGAACCTGGCCGTGAGAAGTAACATAGATTGCTTTTACTGACTCTAAGATTGCTATTATATGAAATACCGATGAAATATTCATAAATGTTTACTAAGGATTAGCACCTAGCTATCATAAATCAGGTGGTCAAATTGGCGTGCCGAATATCCGATCCTCCTGGGAGATTCATTTTAACTTGAGCTCCTGGTTGTGGACTATCACTAACGGTATATGCAGCAATGGATTCAAGGCGATACACGTGTAACAAGGCTTTTCTTTTCTAAGCGCTCCTCCTCCCTTCTCACTTTTAAGCTCGAGCAGAGCTGTTTAAGAGAGATGTTGTGAGAGGAGGTAAAGAAGATAGTTGATGGGGTAAAATCTACTGGTAAACAAATATCCATCCAATACGCCAATCCATAGTCCAACTCCATAAGCCAAACCAAACTCCCAGCATACCCACATGGCGTACATGTCAATGCGTGAAACTCCAAAAACCCAGCCATAAGTTTTGCGTCTCATATCCAAAGCCTCGTCAAGTCCTATCAACCGGTTACTTAAAACTGGTATGGCTTGGCACCTGGGTACGCCTCATATGTAGGTGAGCGCTGTGGTCGTGCAAAGCCCGAGTTGAAGTCAAATCCGGAGTTGTTGTTGATGGGGGACTGGGGCTCCTGGGGGTACTGTCGCTGGGGGACAGGGTGGGAGCCATAGTGTGTCTCGGGGGCTGGGGTATGAGATTGCTGGCCGTAACCGTAGTCATGCTGAGGAGCGGGGGACTGACGAGCAGGCTGGGCGTAGGCGTAGTCGTTTTGGGGAGCGGGAGATTGGCGATATCCGTTAAAGTCGTCCTGAGGAGCTTGTCTCGCGCCGAAGCCCTGGGGAGCTGGCGAAGGACCACCTCGATATCCACCATAGTTTGCGTGATCATTCTGAACTGAAGACTGGCCATAGCCTTGCATCTGACCATATCCTTGGCCCTGGCCATATCGTTCATTACCAGTGGGGGCTTCAAATGCCTGGTCTGAGTAACCATTTCCACCAATCGAGTTGTAATTGTATGCCTGATGATCAATGGGCGAGTAGGCATCCTGGGCCTGGTTATGGGCCAAGTAACCGTTTGAGTTGTTGGTCGGTTGGCTGTATGGGTCCAACCGGCCTGACCCGTTGTTCATGACGCCCACCTGCTGGCCTGTAGCTGGCTTCTTGGCAAGCGAGTCCAGCTCGACAGCTTCCTCATGAACCATGACCTTCTTGTTGCTGGCCTCGTCCCAGCTGGGCATTTCGGGGAGGGCATCATCGTTTCGCGGCTTGGACATTTCGAACTCGGCGTACTGGGGTGGCTCGGAGTGAGAGGACTTGGGTGCAGGCGCAAACTGGGGCGCAGTCGAGTTCATAGTCGAGGGGTTCATAGGAGGCTCTGATCGGTATCCGTGGTGCTGGTTCTGGGGAGCGTAAGGGTCGTCGAGATGCTTGATTTTGCGGCCGCCAGGAGGATCGCAAGCGCCGCAGCAGTTGCCGCAGCACTGGAGGCATTGGAAGCAGCTACAGCAGCACGAGAGACCACAGCAACAGCAGCGGATGATACACCAGAGGATGCTGAATATGATGAGACCACCAATGATGATGACGCCAATAACCGGCCACCTGGATGTTGTTAGTGGGGGAATAACACGACTTATACGATAGACAGCACGCACTTGCACCAGGGCACGGTCATGCAGTTGTCCCAGCTTGAGAAGGCGGTCGCAAAATCATCAACTTTTTGTGCGGCGTCGGCGACTGCAGCGTTGCCAACCTCTTGTCGCCGCACCAGACCCGCGGCAAGGCTTCGAATGACCTTGTCCTTGACGATCTCCCAGTCGCTTGCCCGGAGACTCCGGGCCATGGCCTCATCGATAGAGGGCATTGTGGCGGTTTTTATGAAGTCGAGTAAATGATGATGTGAGTATCGAATAATGAATGTTTCGGCAAGCTCGTCAAGATAGGTGTGGTAGCTATCGAGATAAGTTCGAGGGGTATTCCAAGAGAGTGGTGTTGCTCCGTCGCATGAGCTGAGTGAGTAGATGGTTCACAACGCGCGTCTGTCGGTTGACTGAGAAACGATTGAATCTATTAATGGAGCTCCTGCAGCTGAATACGAATGATTCGGATTTTCAACGCGGATGTGCCTTTCGGGCTGTCGTGGAATGAAGGGACACAGCGGACGGGTGTCAGTCGAGTGATTCAAACAGAAGGTAAAGCGACGCTCGCGTCGATAAAGAGAAAAAGAGAGTATAAGCGAAAAAGAGTGAGAGTAAAATCCAAACAAGGATCGAAAAAGATGCCGTAGAGGCGGTGGCCGTGTCAGCACAAGGGCGTTTAAAAGAGGGAGGCTTGAGTTCAAGAATAGAAAGTGAGGGAGGAAAGAAGGAAGCAACACGCGGCCCAGAAGCCAGTCAGAGGGGACCAAAGGGAACCGACGGGGAGGTTTAACAGGCACAGGCGGAGGTGGGTTCAAAGGAGGCGCTGGGAACGGAGGGACGCTAGTGGTCTGCGGCGTGGTAATTTACCCCTTGGAGGGCGCCAAGGACCCCTGTCGAGCAAGATGCTGAAACCGTGAAACCTTGGGGGCCATGCAGGCTCGCGCTTGACAGTGGACGATCCAGTCGAGTCGTTTACGGTCCCAACAATACGCGGCTGGACAAAGAACGAGTGTCTACGGAGGTAGGTATACAAAGTACGTGGAATAAAGATCCGAGAAGAGATGACCGTACAGAAACACATTGTCATGGATATCGTCGTTTGATCGTCAACCATGGTCTAGCCCTTGCCAGACGAGGTTGGGGCGATCACCAGTTCGTGAGACATTCTCTAGGGAGGCTGTGAACGAAACCTGCAAATCCTCATTATGAGACAGACAGACGCAAGAATCGGCAATGCCGTCATGACGTCAAAGCAGGTTTCGTCATGGCTCTCTCTATGCTACTTCTGTGGCGTTGTATCTTGAAAACATCAACATGAGAAGGAGAAGGATAAAATCAAAGAGTTCACCCGTCAATCAGGTCAACCTCTGACTACGCCGTCCTCGGCACTGAGTGATATAAATTCGAGCTAATTCCTGTCAAACCATATGCTGCCACTCTCACGTCAAACAACCCCCGTCCTGGTGCGGCACGAGGTCCGCATGGCATGGGTAAGGTTCATTCTCTTGCGGGATGGTTTCATCTACATGAGCATCGAGAGAACGACCAACCTTAAATGTCGTGATGAAAGTGTCAAAAGTTTGAGCATTCTATATCATCAATCCCTGGAAATTCCCATATTCATCATTATTCTCCCATGCAACTTAACTTGGGCTGTCCCTCTTCTCTGATGCGGGCAATCCAGGGGCTCCCGAAATGACAGGGTCACTTCGATAACCGGACGATCCTGTCGCAGGCCTGACTAGAAAAGCTGAAACACATGACAGGAGAAGCTGTCATTGAACATCATTTCCCTCAACTCGGCAAGTCTTAAGCATCATTATAGGACAAACTGCTCATTCATTGGTCTATGCCGCTTTTTAACTCTGTGCCGCGTCTCTCACCGCCAGGAACTTTGACTTTTGCTCGGCCCCGAGGATGAGTTTGACTTTGTGGTGTTGTAATTGTGATATGCAAAAAGGATTGACATTGACAAATTATTCTAGCTACCTGATCATCGTTAATTGCTACACCAAAACAACCAATCAACCCTTTTGAGTACACGCTCCGTTTATGACGTTTCATGCAGACTCAACGGCTGTGGCTGTGGATGAGAGGTCGTGTCTCGTCGAGTGAACCACTGACAGCGGAGTGGCGCCCGCTTGTCACTCGATGTTGCCCACGGATCCTCCAGAGCACATGAATGGTTGGATGTTGAACACTATCGTGGACTGACAGCTCGAATGGACCTGGACCTGGGACCGGATCCCCGCCTTGCATTGCGGAGCAGTCGATCATGGCAGCCAACACAAGTAGGACCTTGAGCTATGAAGCACAGGTCCCTCTCACCTCGATAGATACTTTTAAATCAGTATGATGAAACTTGAGTATGACGTTAAATGATTTCTCAGTGTGTACAAAGCTATATTGAGCGTATCAAGAGCAGATATTGCTGAGCAAGTGAGACAAGATGATGCCCTTGCCATCACCATATTACACGAATAACCTCCATCGCCTCTATCGTAAAGCCTGACGGTAGTAAAGCCATTCAGTCCAATTCAATTCCAGAAACGCCTCATCAGTGGTATCCTTTTTCCCCAAGCGGCCGTTCCAGCATCGTCATCCCTTACTTGCCCGGGGGAGGGCCAGCAGGCGGCGTGTAGCCTGGGTCGTCGCGCTGATATGTGCCCTGAGGAGGCTGAACACCAGAGTACTGCTGCCCTTGACCATAGTATCCATCGTTGGGGTTAAAGGTGGTGCCCGTGTACTGGGGCTGCTGGTGCTGGGCGTAGGCAGGTGGAGGAGGGGGCGGGCCGTATCCATACTGCTGCTGGTGGTTGTAGTCGCCCTGGTTGTAGTCGTGCATCTGGTGGTTGTTCTGGTTGTTGCCCCAAGGCTTGTTGTTGGGCGCCATCCAGCCAGTGCCGTAAATGGGCGTGGCGCCACGGCGGCGGCGACGACGAGAGGAGAATCTAAGAGAAACATAGTCAGTATCTTGCGGTGAATGGAATGGAGGATGAAGAGATGGCTTACAGGCATGTCAGGATGAGGAAGAAGAGGAAAATGCAGACGCCGGCAAGGACCCAGCGTCCCCAGTAGGACCAGTTGCTACGCCTACATTCGCGGCGGAAGCTATCATAGACGTAGCCATAAGGGCAACCCCAGGCGCGCTCAAAGATTTCCTCGACGGGCGCCATGGCAGAGTGTTGATTAAGTAGATGCGCGATGAAAACTCGCGATGTGGGTGATGAAGTTTTTTCTTTGTTGAATGTCTGTGGACGAGGTTGGTCGAGAGACGAGGCTGTCTAAGGTATGTATGGATGTAGTGGTTGTCGCAAACACGGGCGCGCAAAAGCCCAATCCGACCACGGTTAGCGAAGGGGGGGGGCGGCGTCGAATCGGTTGTTTAATGACGTGGACTACTGGTAATAGTAAAACCAAACAGGTGGTGACGTCGAACAATAGATGGAGGAGGGAGAGTTTTTGATTTTGTAGGTGAGAAAATAGGTATCGAAGGTCAAGTGAATCACCTGGTGCGAGGGGAAAGAGAGAAAGAGGCAGCCAATGCAATCAAGCGGGAACACACGTATTTTTCTACTGCGAGTCGTCAAGAGAAAGCCAAGCTACCAAGCCCAAAGCCAAGAGAAATCCCGGCACGCCCAAACCGTCATCCCACTCGCTCAATCACGACCAGTTTACGCTGGCTACTGGGCATCACAAGGACCTTTTTTCTCGGCACGCCCACTTTTTCGGCTCATTTGTCATTTATCTCGTGGCTGTGCCCAGAAGGTGTCTTGAGCTGTTTCGGAGCTTGGCGATGGAGGTGGGAGCATTGCTGTAACGATTTTGCCTTTATTGATGCAAGCGAATATGCCGCTCTTCCCGTCGATGCTGACCGTTTGAATGCGATGCCATGTCATTGAATTGAAAAGCAATCCCCAATATATAACAATGGTATTATCTACACCGTGTATTATCAGCTACTTCAATACAATCACTCACCACCTACTCCGTAGACCACCTACAGTAACAAAGTGATCCCACACCGAGGCTCACCTCTCGGTCGGAGAAGCCAAATAATCGAACAACAAAAGTCACCTGCCCTTTTCCATCAAAAATCCTGCTCAGCCTCAACATCGTCGTCTTTCCCTAATCCCGCTTGGGCCTTGAAGCGTCGCCACCAACCTCTTGGCCCCGATTCGGGGATGACGTCTCCCCTTTCCCCAGCCCCGACCGGAGAGCTCCACCCCCGAATTGACAAGGGGATTTACGATAAACCCCAGTTGCCATGCTTGCTGTGCTTCGAGAACCTAGGCTGTGTTGCGAGTAGCTTCTACTAATTAATCACCTACATATCTGTAATGGCGATTGATCTATCCGTATTCCATCACCGCTTGATGTCAGTCCAGACACTGCGATCACCATGATTTAACAAACGATGGAATTCAGCCCAAGCTCTAGATACGAACAGGCCACATCCGGCATGCCCCGTGTTCCCGTCACCCATCATCACACGTCATTACGCAACCGTCGTACAGAAACAAATATCCTTTCACAGGAATTCAAGTTCCAAAAATCAGCCATAATGCACGATATTAACTCAATTAACGACGTGGACAAAGAGTCTCGTGCTGATAAGCGCTAGAGAGACTGCAACATGTCTAGGTAGCATCATTGCATCGTATTGCATCGCATCGCATCAAGCGCTACGACCCGCTCAGTAGTCGTCAGCCGCTGAGCCTCTCTCATAATTCCAAATCCTCAACCTCGTCCGCGAGGCAAAGGTCGCTTCATTCATCCATGTATACAAGGCTCGGTATCCCTTTCATGCCTTCCAGTCCATTCATTGCCATCCATGTCGCTCAAGTCCAGTAAATCCATCCATCGTCACCGAGGACGCCACTACATCCAGATTCCAGAGACAAGGCGAAAGCCGTCTTTCATGGTAATCATCGAGAGGAGAGTCGCTGTCAGAAGATTGACGGCAAGTTGCTTTTAGGCACCAAAAACGCCGTCATGAGACATGATGAAAAGCGACAAAAATTTCAGTATCCCCAACTCCGTTGCCCTTCGTAACGACCAGAATCGTCCATCATATAAGTAAGTGTAAAGGAATTCGTCAAGGATTCGGCGTTTAGAGACCAGCCCTGGGGAAAGAGTATCGCTGGCGTCGAAGCTCGTCGGCCGCCTTCATGTTGCGCTCGGCGGCTTGTTGAGCCTGCTGCCGCGCAGCGAGGGCATTGATCTTCTCACGGGCCTTGATCAGGCTGCTGTTGTCCTGCTGCTTGATCTTGGATCGAATGTCGTAGAGCGTTATGAGGGTTGAGGCTCGGTCGATGTCATCTTCAAACTGTATGGCAGCCTTGTCAGCAGCCAATTCCCAACTCCTTCGAGGAGGCGACAGGTAGTGGAGGCGCCTCACATCAGATTCACCACGGCGAGGAGTGCCGGGGATGGAATTGCCAGCTGAGCCGGGTAGAGAACTGGGTGAGAGGATTCGGCGGCCAAACTTGTCAAACTTGCCCTCTGAGGACCAGTGACGCTGGATGCCCGAAGGGCGTCGTGAGTTATGAGCGGAAGGCGTTGAGTGTGAGGTGGATGCTTGTGCGTCGGTCGTGGTGCGGTTGCTTGTAGAGGGGAGGTTCGCCGTGACGATGGCAGTGGCGGCTTCAGATTCCTGATGCGCACGGGATGTCAGTAATGAGCCATGGCGCGAATCATGGGCACAAAATTGGGAATAGTCATGACGAGAACGTACAGCAGCGCCGAGGTTGCTAAGGTCGGCGAGCACCTGAGAAAGCTGGAGGCTCTCCATGATCGAGATGGCGAGGTAGTGTGTGATGTGTTGTTATGTACGGCGGTGACGGTGATAGTTGTGCTTGTCGGGAATGCTTCCTATCGAGCTCATGTGAAGTCGAGGAGGAAGAAAAGGTTTGGTCAGATTAGAGTGAAGCGGAGGTCAGCGCGGAGGAGGGTGAGGGAGGTATGATGGATTTTATCGAGCACCCCTTGGTTCACAAAAGCTGAGGTGCCAGCGCTGGGTTGACCTGAACCGGGCTGGCTCCTGGGTGAATTTTGGGTTTCCCCTTCAGTGAAGTGGAGGGCAAAGCGGGGAGCCCGCCGCCTCGCGCTTTCCAAAATCAACTGTGGGATTTGTTTAGCGTGTATTGTGCGCGTGTGCCAAGCGGCAGGGGCGAAAGGCGGGTCCCGGTTTTTTTTCCATTGTGGAGGGCACCACGGGCATCTCATCCAAGATCAATCAATCCTTGGGCTTACAATGAATGTCACAGCAAACACACAAAAGGAGGACGAGGGCTTTCTTGCTCGCGTCTCCTGATTTCATCGGTCCGGATCGTCGGTCTCTCACGAGACGGTTACGGAATTACGTAGCTGAGTAATGCCGGTCAGTAATCCAGTCTTACAGTATAATTCAACACCGGATAGGAGCCTGCACCCGCTGAGAAATGGATATTAGTGAAGCGACATGTGCCCTCGCCCTCGACGATTATGGACTTCTCAATCATTGGCTCATGATAGATGATCAAGCTTCCAGAGCGTCCAGACGCTGCAGGGCTCCCAGCTTCTGCATGTATCGTGCAGATGAGAGCCGGATCCCCCCGGATGCATTGGATCCATGGATCTTGGGAGAGAGGGGCAGCGGGCGGGACGAGGGGGAGGGTCAGCACGGGCAGGCGTCTAACTTAGCTCCCATGAAGGCCCTAGCGAGCTCGACTCCTCCCCCACACTTTCCAGTTCCCCATGGCTTCAACATTGGCGCTGCCAGTATCAAGTTTGTGACATCTAAAACGCCACGGTCGAGCTCGAGCTGAGCTACTCCTTGCCTCGTCTGAAAGCCTACATCTCACCGCTTCTCTCACATATCAACTGCACATCCTTTCTTTTACATCGGGATCGATCGGGCCTGGCTCGACTTGATCTTCGCCCTCTCCGCTGATGGTGGGTGAAGGTCCTTTCCCAGGCTGGAAAAAGGATGCGGTGCATTCCACACGGAGGCGACGGAGCACAGAACCCGGACCTGGAGCCTGGAGTCTCCCAACCCACACTACCTGTGTGCGCCGGGCAGGGGGAAGCATCACTGACGAGTTCGTCACCCAAGGCTGGACTTACAGCATGCACTGCGCTGCATTACAGCACACCGGCGGGCAGAGGGAGAATCGACACCCGCCTGTCTCTCGAATCCAACTGCCGTGACCTCCCGCTCTGTCCCCTGTGCAATCCGTGCCATTGGGCCGCAGCTAGGGGCTTGCATCTTGGATCTGGTGTTCGCGTTGGAGGAATTACTGCCATGTGCGTCATGGCCTGAATGACCAGGTCAGCTCTCCAGTCTTTGACTCTGCCCAGGAGATTCCAGGTCAGGCAGCCCATCATCAACTTCGACAGGACACCCTTCAAGCACATCTCCCCGAATCCATCCGATGTCGGGGCACATGACCATCCCTTTGTTTGTATCGACATGTCTCGAAGATGCTGCAGGCGAGTGCAACCCCCCCACTGGATTTCCCCGCAAAACGCAGACACACGCGTGAGCATTTCCTTGCTTGTCTAGCCCCCCTTGCTAAGAGGGAACGGCGGAGCTTCCAGCCGCATTCGGGTTACAATCCCGACTTTGCCGTTGCAATTCCCATCTCGTCGCTCCTGGGTGATCAGGCACAGCATGAGGTGGAGTTGACCTTCCCTTCTCGAAGAACGCATATCGCAGATCCTTTGTTGGTTTCTTGTCTCAAGGACCCCGAGACTCCGAGATACCCGCGACACTCCCCAGAATAGTAACATGGCATCAAGGCAGAGTTGCAGCTGTCCAGGCGGTTGCTTCTCTGATTCAACACTCCTGCAGCATGCTGCTACTGTGCCTATCTGCATCTTCCTCTTGTTGGCATCGGAATACGGCACCGGTCTGCCAGTCTCAAGCCAAAAGACCCGCCCCCGCGTGGATCCTCGGGGCCGGCCCCGCTGCGGGTCTCTCCCGGCCCGGTCCCCTACCCCGGATTCAACTACAGTTCCCGTCTTTTGTCCACACAAGGCAGAGAAGAGAGCTGTGTCACAAAGCCTCCATAAGGCCAGGGGCGGGTGCGTCAGAGAAACTCAACAGAGAAGAAAGCTTCTTTGTCAAGAGGCATAGTCTGCTTCTGTATCTGCATACCTCGCACCATTCACCTTTGGGAGGAATAGAAGGTGCCTGTGTGTGCCAGTCCTAGCTCAAGCCCCTTTGTCAAAGAGAATATTGTTCTCAAGGACGTTCTCATCATTGTTCACCCACGGTCTTGTTCTTGCCCGAGAACATCCTCTTTCATCACATGAACAATAAGAAGACTGACCTTGAACAACATCTGTAGGAGCTGGCGTATATATAGCCACAGGTACTCGGGACTTTTTTCTCTGTGTTCACAGCCAACCAGCAGCGATCTGAACTGGAACTGTGCCCGAAATACATCCATCCGATACAAGAGGCGCACCGGTCACGATCACTCAAGCAGCGAACCACAGGGGAATTAGTACATTAGCCATGTCAGGTTATAAGTATTCCGAGTACGACGGAGGATGCTATTCCCCTGAGTGCTCGCCACCCTCCCCCACTGACTCTTTTGCGAGCTATAAGCAGCTCCGAAAGAGCATTCGCTCGCGCTCCTCACGTAGCTGTCGTGCCATCAATCGCACCGCCTCCTGGGGCATGGAGCTTGCCCGGCGATTGTCTCGCAAGCAGTCGAGAAACGCCAGGGCTCTCTACGACCTTGTCATGGCCCTTCCCGATATTCCTCCCACCTGTAAGAAGCTGCCCATGTGCGAGGACATGCCAGTCAGCCTGAACAGAGCTGGTACAGATAGGTCGGACATGACAGAGGCTGAGATTCTCGGCCAACGGCTGTTGCCAGTCCAGACGTGCCTGTGTGGCTTTTCGCCATGCGATGGTAAGTCTTTCAGGTGTCTCGAGGCAGGTATCAGAGCTCGGTCTCCATGCCCTTAATGACTATGAATTACCCAGCCGGCATTTGACGCAGGTCAGTCATAAAGTCGGAATAATGGGTCAAAGGTGGGCTCACCCTTATACCTAAGTACTAGATAGCTTAGAATCGGGGATCAAGATATTTATTATTTCTCAATATGTATCAGCAATCAAAAATTGAAATTGTCTCATCATTGGTCTTTTCATCTTGTGATCACCTCCTCATGCTCCTTTGTCTACCTAAACGGAGAGAGGCTTATGTGCCATGCAGACAATAACAATAGCATCTCCTAGCCTAAAATAGTTAAAGAAGGCCCAAGAAGCAGGCCATGCTAAACACAGAACAAATACACTTGCACAAAAATAACCATGCCCATGATCTACTCCCAGATGATTTACAAGACTGCCTTGGAAGATCGATAACGGCATGTTCGCTCCATATACCGCAGCCCAATTAGATCTAAGAATGAATCCAGCAAGAGAACTCATGCAAAAGCATCTCCAACCTGCTTGTGTTCCCTCCTCGTTCAAGAAGGGTCGACAACGTAACTTGAAGGAACGTCTTGTTAGGGTTGAAACTCAGCAATGAGACAAGGCAGCGGGTAGATACGCATTTCCAAGAACTTGGATCATGTTGAGTCAGACATACATGTTGCTCAGTGCCAAGAATAGAAGCTTAGCACAGTCAAGCTTTCCTCGAGGACTTGGCATGGTAAAGGCCCAACAAGAGATGAAGAAATGGGGAAGAAAGGAGTTGGAGGAAATCATGTTGATACCTCGGCAAGAAAGTGTCGCTCCGTACCTATGATACCGCTCCTCTTTATTCCGACCCATCAAGATTCTAACACGAGAAGATCTTGGATTTGAAAGGCGGCGATACCCAACATCCCTACCTACCTCAGAATAGGCAGCTGCCAATCATCCAGGGCCGTGTTTGGGGAGCTTTACGACGATACCCATCTCAATCAAGAAATTGGCAATCCGCAACTATCGTCGCAGCCTTGACACAAGGCTCGTTGGCTTCCAGTAACATCGTGGAGCGCGGTAATGTCTCGTCGACCAACATGATCCAATAGTCACACCAGTTTCGGTAATGGTAAAAGTCACCGTGAATGTCTTCAAACGCCTTGGCACTTCTTCTAATCGTGTATGCCTCCGATGGGCGATTGTCCCTCCAGGGGCCCTATTGGGAGTGCGAGTTTACAGCTAAACATATAACGGACCGCTTGACAAAACAGATGCCTCCAGAAACAAGCCCAGCAAAATTCTAACAAAAACATCGCTTGCAAAGTCAAAGTTCCTCCTCTTGAGTCTTGCCGTTCTTACTCCTTGGGGAATAGCTCGGGAGGTGTGATCTTACCCGCCTCGTCCCGCGCGCTCGAACTGCTGCCTATGATTGTCCGGTCGTCGCCATCACGCTCGGGATCATACTCATCCGAGTCTTTGCTCTGGGGCCGCGAAGGGAGCTTGGCAGCCTCTTCATCGGCATCACTGTCGCTCTCGTGATCCGTGTCCACGAGTCTAACGCGCGATGTTTCATCCTCGCTGTCGTCGTACCTTCTAGGCCGGCCGTCGTCGGGATCCTCAGAGGCAAGGGGCTCGTGGTCGCCTGGCTCCTTGAGCTTGATGAAGGAGTCGATTATATAGTACTGCAGGGCGTTCATGATGAGGGGGAAGATCATCATGACAAAGGCGATTTGAAGCTTCTCGTTGCCCTCTGTCCAGCCGAGGGCCCAGTCACCCACAACGGAGATCCAGGGCATCATGATAAAGATGATGAGAACGCAAATCTTCATGCCAAAAAGACCACAGAAGTAGATGACTGATTGCTTTAACCACCACCAGGCATTAGGCGGGTTGCCATAGTTTCCTGATTGTACAGACTCGGGTGGTTGGCCAACGGGGGTGAAACGGACGAGACCGGTGAGGACGCGGAGAAGGATAATGAGGATGGGAATTCCGAGGGTGGTCTAATACAAAATGTTAGTGAATCTTTCTTAATGCAAGTTATAACCTAAGGAAGGGCTGCTTACATCAATGGCGAGGTTGAGGAGGTAGAAGGAACACGGGTTGGGGGCGTAGTCATCATCTGACCGAGCAGCCACTTTCGTTGTCGCCGGTTCCACCTGGACTGAAAATCGACCGCTTGTCAACATGGACATGAAGATGTTGGCGATGTGGACAAGAACGGAGCCAAAGACCTGCTTGGAGACGTCGAAGAACCAGATCTTGAGGGGACGTTGGGGCCTCTCCCGCCAGCGCTTGTACACGAGCGAGAGCAAGGCCAAAGCGCCGAGCGCGCCCTGGACAAGCAAGGCGAAAGGTCCCAGTAATGAACACTCGCCGGGTGATCCATCTTCGGACTGAGGCGACGCAGAACCCGTAGCAGTAGCCGCGACGGTCGCGGAGGCGATGATGGAGGTGGCCATGTTGAGGACGGTCGAAGGAGCGTCAAGAGCGAGGGCTAGCGAAGAAGCATCATCGACGGCGGGAACTAGACTCTCGATGCCCTGGGGAGGGTGCATCTGGGGAGATAGATCTAAATGGTTTAGATCTCGTAGAGGAGAAGGCGAGAGTGGTGATGTTTCAGATTGGAAAGGGACCAGAGCAGCGCGGAGGAGGAGGTGACGGGATGAAAAGCGACCGTTGTATTTTCCCTTTTCTAGAAAAAAGACAAAGAATATGCAGAAATATAGTGATTAGAAGCAGTGTGACGTATTCGAAAGTTTATCAGGCGAAAAAACGAAGAAGCAAAAGAGAGGGAAACAAGAGAGAAAGACAAAAATAGGAGACAAGTCAGAAACTCAGAGTCGTTGACGACGGCACGTCTTGCGGCTGGCGCTTGTGACCGATGCGGATGGGAACCAAGCCCATCACCACCTGCTTTCCTTTTTCAAACCAAGGCTCAGGCTAAGGCTGAAAACGATCTGGGCTCCACACAGCCACCGCTTTTTCCCCGCCCGGGCCTAGAATCTGCTGTCAAGCCACAGGCTAATCAGGCACTTTCCACGCACTTTTCGCCCGTGGCTGTCCCCTGCTGACCCCGACTGTGGCTGAGTAACCCCTCCTCTAACCATCGGCCCAACGTACCTCCATCCTCCGACCAGCCGGACCAACAAGGCAAAGCGTCGTTTTAGTCGAAAAAGTCCAATCGTCGGCAAGACGAAAGAGAGGCTGTCGACGATCAACGACGACGACGACAACACCACCGACGCACATCACAGCCCCTCATGTTTCGTCCGAGATTAAGGGCACCGCGCCTGGCCTCTGGCCTCGGCCTGCGCTCCACCGTCAATGCCCGCCGTTCCATCCACCACGTACCCGAGCTGCAACACGACTTCTCCCAGGGCGTCCCCAACCTGATGAGCCCTGGCGGCTTCGCCATTGCCTGGACTGAGTACATGAAGCTAGCGGTGGAGAAGCTCAATGCTCTTACTGTCGGTACGTGAGCCTCTGGAGCTGCCTGGGCGCATTGGTGGAGCGCAATGCCTCGCCTTGCATCCGATATCTCGCAAGCTGTAACTCGACCATATACACATGCTAACTTCCAATTCTCCTCCAGGCACCGAGCTCGAGGACAAGGACACCAAGACCATTGCCCTCCTGACTGCCCGCGAGCCCAGCCAAGCCCCCATCTTCAACTACGCCTCCATGGCGCACAACAACCACTTCTTCTTCCAGGGCATCTCCCCCGAGGGCACCCCCATGCCCGACGTCCTCCGCCGCGAGCTCGAGGCCTCCTTCTCCTCGGTCGAGACCCTCCGCCGCGAGTTCATCATCACCGCCTCGGCCATGTTCGGCCCCGGCTTCCTCTGGCTCGTCAAGGCCGGCCCGGGAGACTACCGCCTCCTGCCCACCTACCTCGCCGGCTCACCCTACCCCGGCGCCCACTGGCGCGCCCAGTCCACCGACATGAACACGCTCGGCAAGGACGGCACCGCCCAGCGCTTCTTCCGGAACCAGGTCCACGGCGCCCGCAAGCGTGACGGCGACCTCCCCCCCGGTGGTATCGAGCTCGAGCCCCTCCTGTGCCTCAACACCTGGGAGCACGCCTGGCTGCTCGACTGGGGAGTCGGAGCCGGTGGCCAGGGCGGCAAGGTCGCCTTTGCAGAGTCGTGGTGGAACCTGATTGACTGGGAAAAGGTTGCCCAGAAGTCGGGAGTCTTGCGGCCTGAGTTCATGTCGGCGGCATGAGACAGATATAACGGGTAGCAAAGCAAGATATGACATGACGGCATGAAGGAATAGAGACAGGGGGCGTCGGAGCGGATCTTGTAAGATATTGTACTCTGCATATACAGGTGGGAAAAATGTACCATTTGATGTGATCCATCCAAGTTGCCCGTATATATCCCGAAATTACAGTAGCAGCGCAGCTCGAAGACTGCTGTATAGCTATAAGCCAAGATTGGCAAAAAGAATGAATAAAAAAAGACATACAACATCGGGGATTCGCTAGTCGTCACCGACCTAGCTACTAATCCAACTCTTGCCAGGTTATCGATCGGAGATCAGACGGGATCCAGATTTTTCTAGCAGATGTGGTCGTATGTGCTGATTTTGGTGGGAAACGAGACTATATTGACGACAGAGATGGGGGTGTACTTTTGCTTAAGCTCGCCTGTATCATATTGTCTGTAATGACACATGTCATTCAGGGGCTGTTGAGTGAGATATCTCAAGAGCCCTGCCATCCATCACCTTTCTTCTCAAAGACAATGGGCACTTCAAAGAGAAACACGGTGAGATAGATGCATATTTCATGTATATCTTGTCAGAGTGAACCCAAACCACTACTCCACTTCTCACCAAGGGCACACAGCTAAGCAGTCAATCTCACAAATCTCACAAGTCACAAGTCACATACAACTAAAGAACAATCTCATTAAACCGATTCATTTTCATTCCCTTTTCCTATCCTAAATGCTAAGCTAATCTTCCAATCCTATCCAATCCAATATCAGGTAAAAAAGCAACTAGCGCCATTTGGTATCCGCGTCGTCGTTCATAACATCCTTTGAGTGAGCGCTTGAAAGGTTCTAAAGGTCGTGTGCGAGTGGTATAAGTGAAAAAGGAAACAAAGGCCATGCCGAAAATGAAAGTACAATCCAGTATATCTCCCCCAAAATGAAGTAAACAGTAAAATAAAATAAAAAAGACCCGTATAAACATCATGGCTCGCTTCGAGCTAACATTCATTCATCGTATGAGCATCCCGCGAGAGAGCCGCTACTAGTAATCTGCAAATGGTTGTACGATCTGATATAAAAAATGACAACGCCGACGCGTAAAGCATGAGAGAGTAAAGAAAAGATTTTGAGACCACCTCGAGGCCATGCTGTCTAGCAGATGGAATCGAGGCCGTCAAAGAGTGGAAAGGAAGTGTTGATGAGAGGTAGGGAGACGCGGAGAAGTAGAGATGAAGAGACGTAAAGAGGTAGAGAAGTAGAGAAGTGGAGTGAAGAGGTTCGTGAAAAACAGAGAAGATGGCTTAGATCATGTTGCCGTTGACACTGATCTCAAAGCCTTCGCCCTTCTGCCTGAGAGCCTTGGCAAGCATGAGTTCACGCATCCAGTCGATGCGGTCATCTCGGCTCTTGACGGCAAAGTGGTGTGTCTTGCCCGTGCCATTGACACCATCAGCGGGGATGGCGCTCGAGGCGTGGAGGTTGCTGTCTCGCTTGCGAAGACGCGAGAAGCTGTTCTTGTCCTGAGGGATGAGCTGGAAGGCAAAGGCGCCGACGGGGTCGCTCTTCTCGCGGCTGTGGCGGCCGTGAGAGAGATGCATGGTCTTGAAAGCAGCGCTAAGCTTGGAGGACGAAGCAAGGCTAGAGCAAGCAATAGCGTAGTCGTCAATGTCGACGTACTCAAGAGTACGGTCAAGCTCCTCAGCGTCCTTGTGCATGTTGAGGCGAGTTCCCTTGAGGGTGAAGTAGCCATCTTGCCACTCATGGCGGAGCATCTTAGTCTTGCGCTTCCTCATCGGGCCCTGGTGGCTGATGCCATTGGCAGGGTCAGCAGCAGGGGACTTGCCCCTGGGTCCGATGGGAGGCAGAGCCTTCTCGGAAGCGTTGAGCTGGCCACGAGAGAAAGTGAAGGTGTCACGAGGAGGGGGCTGAAGGGGCTGCTGAGAGCGAGACACTCGTGGCGTTCTAGGAGAAGCCGAGTGAGGAGTAGAGATGCGGGCGGCAGGAATGGGGCGGTTCTCCTCAAGAGCCGGCATCAAAGGGAAGGATGGGCGGCGGGCGGTGCGGGATTGGCAGCGGGGAGGAGAGGTGTGCTGGGTGAGGGTAGCGGGATCAGCCCGATAGCTCATGTCTGGGGGAACAGACTGAGAGAAGTCGCGAGCCACAGGGCCAATGGGCACAGCTGTGACGGGGACATCGAGCTCAGAGAAGGGAGTGCCATGACGCCAAGTAGTGTTTCTGGGAGTCTCAAGGTCGGGGGACACGGGATCAACCTTATCCATGCGGTAGGGAACGAAGGGAGCTTGCGAAGGCTTCTGCTGCTGAGGAGTGTGATACTCGGGAGAAGCAGAGGAGACGCTAGAGGCACGCGATGGTGCCAACCGCGAAGGAGCAGGCTGGGTCTTGCCAGGGATCGAGAGCTTGGGCAGACGACGAAGGCCTTGGTGAGGGAGCTGGGCCTGGGCATTCGGCAGGACTGCGAATGGAGGCGTGGGAGGGACATCGTTGCCACATTCCCGGAGGTGCTGGTGCTGGAAGTTGAGGAACTGCATCACGTTGTCCTGGGGGTCCCTTTGCTGGACATCGCGAAGGTTGGCCTCTTGGAGGTACTGCAGAGGAGGCACGCCAGGGCCCAAGACATCAGAGGATGCAACGACTGAAGGCACAGCATCTGACACGGGTCGGAGTTGGTTAGGGTCCAAAGCCTTTGCGGTCTCAGGGTGGCTAGTGTCTCCGATGACAACCTTGCCTCCGGCGCTGATGTCCACGTTGGGGTACTCCTTCTTGAAGGCTCGGATGAGCTGCTGCTGCTTCTTCCACTTAGAGCAGTTCTCGCCCTTGGAGCAGTGGTGTGGCTTGGGAATGACCTGCTCGATACCGATGATAGAGACCGACTCCATTGGGGTAATGTCGTCCCTCGCTTGCCTCGTTCGTTGCCTCCGTCTGCTGCTGCTAGGGCGGCGCTTAGATGTCCTAGATGTGCTCTCCTCCCGTCTCCTCGCTTCCCTCATAATATCTCGGCTGGGGACATCCTCAATGGGTGTTGACGCTCGGGGTGATGCGGGGCGGCTGTCCCTCAGTGCTTGGATCTTGTGCCAGACCTTTGTCCGAATACCGAAAGACTGAATGTTGAGTTCCTTGAGATCCTCAAACTTGAGAGTGATGAGGATAGCTCCGCTGATGTCGTTCTCCATAAATCGGTCGGCAACCGACAGCTCAATGCCAGCATTGAGCATGGATTGCGCGACCATCTCCGTTGTCCATGACGCCAGCTCAGCAGGGTCGAGTTCCTCATCGGTGTACTGGAAAGGGCTCGCCCGGCGAGGTTGTTGAGGTGTTGCAAGTAGGTCGGCGATGGCTCGGGGCGCCTTGGGGGTGATGGGGGATAATGTCAAGATGATTTCGTCTTCATCGGCGGAGGAGTAGTAGTTATCTGATGAGTTGCGGAACAAGTGAGGTCCTCGGGGACCCTCAACCTGCTTTGGGGAATATCCAGCTGGGCTCACTTGGCTGCCGCTTGATCTCGGCGTGGGCACCTCATCAAATGAAGAGATGGTTGTGAAACTGGGTTGCCCTGACTGAGGGATTGTTAGTCACAAGTCAAACTTACACCAATTGTCACAGCAGGGCACGTACCGACTGCAGGCTCAGGCGAGGTGAGTTGTCCTCGACATCACTAATGATCTCCTCATCATCATCCTCTTCATGCTCCTCCTCCCAGTCCGTGTCGACGAATTCTGTGGCTACTGATGTCGGTCGTTGTAATATTTGAGAGTCGTTCTTGAGGCTGAAGAAGGTATCTCGAGGTAGAGGCTTTTGTCGCATCTCCTGGTATGTGAGGCGGTTTCCGCCTTGAAAGTATGTGTATTCCTGAAGGGAGTTGTCAGCTGCTGATGGTTGTCGTCTCTGAAGGGAATTATGCTTACCATTTTGGGTTTTTTATTGGGTGATTAACCAAAGCTGATGCTGCCGGGCACCAGTCGGTTGGACGAGAGGGTGTTTTAACTGTGGTTGGTTTTCTGGTCTTGGTGGCCGTTGCCGGCGCTTGATCCTCTAGGAGTGCCTCTGGCTTTGGGCACGATGGGGGAATAACACGCCGTGAAACACTACAGAGAAAAGGAAACGTGAACCTCGTGAGGTCGATGAGATAGTACAAAGGTCGCAAAAGTTGGGAGGAGGGGACCGGGGGCGGCGGACGGGCGGTTACGGGACGTTATGTATGCACTATAGCTCGACGTTGGAGTCTGAGACAAGCGAGGGGGTTCCAGCATGAGCGGTCACGGAGGGGGATGGGGATAAGAATAGACTTGGTGAGGAGAGCTAGATGCAAAGTGTGTGGCCAGGTCTCTCTAGGCCAGGTCTCTAGGCCCTTTAGCTAGGCCCCAATCCCCAGTCCCCAGATCCTAGTTCCCTGCCTCCTCCGGCGGAAGCAGAGTAGTAGAGCAGACGAGAGAGGGTGTGAAGAAGCGGCCCCCAGGGTGAAGGGCCGGGCAGGGTACAGTAAGGCATGGCCAGGGGGGAGGCATAGCGGGCTTTCATCACACCGGCACGGCGCGCAGCGGGCAGCAAGCAGCAAGAGAGCATCACCCAACAACCAACGCACAATATCACCGCCTATAGTAGGAAACTTTGCACTCGCCAAGTGACCCTAGAAGGCACACGTGTTGGTTCAACCAAGGCTGTCAAGCCAGGGTCCGTCCAGACCGTAGAGGGAGAGGCCCACGGCGGAGAGGATGAAGAGAAGAGGAGAAGGATGGCCCTGGGGCTGGGGCTTGGACTAGGGGGCGTGCGTGGCGTCAACGCTGGAGTGTGGTGAAATCTGCATCCCGCGTGCAGAGATGCACGCCCAGTCACGTCGCTGGCCTCTGTCACGAAAGGAAAGGAAGGCAAGCAACCTTGAAGCGATGCGATGCGATGGATGGATGGATGCTTGATGACGATGGTGGGAGAGGAAGAAATGGCATGGGCGGATGGTGCGTGGGGCGCCATGTCTTGGGCAGTCTGTGCACTTCGATTGGCTCAAGCCGCCGCACGTTGCGACCCTGGCCCGTGGGGCGTTAGGCTTGAGCACACTCACAGGCAGGATTAGCGGCACACCCCAGCCAAATATAGCGGCCCTAGCGGGCGTTTAAGCGCCGGGAGCTCTCGAGAGCACTCATGAGGACGAGAGAGAGTCTAGGAACTCGTCCAAGGTTGACCAAGTTGAAATGAGATGAGGTGATGGCGGTGATGGATGCCCCTGGCAACCTCCGATATCTGATCCATCTTGTTTTCATTCTCGCCACTTTCCGGGTTGTCAATTGAAAATTTCCTCTCGTCTTTTCTTCTTCGCCATGGATAGTATTCGCATAGGGCCCCTTGTCCCCTTGTCCTAGTCTCGGGTGCTCATGGCTGCAGCGGTTTTTCTCTCTGCGTCGACAAGGACAAACAAGACAAGGGCAGGGTCCTCACAGACCACGTATCTTTCGGCAGCCAGGGCGGGAGAGGAGACAGACGACAGACCAGACCGACCCCATCATCTGCATGCGGCGAGGAGCTCTTCGCATGCACTGTACGGGGTTTCATGTGGTGTTTGTTTCCATCTGAGCCAGCCCGCGCATTGCAGTGCGTCTCCGGCGAGACTCACTGAGTTGTTAGCGCTGCTGCCGGCAACGTGGACGTCTTGAGCATCCATTGACGATTCCTAGGGCAAGCATATACAGCTCCCCTGCGTCTGCTGTTGCACGTAGCACCTGTGCTTCGGTTCCCTTACATGAGGTGAAGCCAGCCATGTGACTTGGGTAGCAGAGCTCCATGGCTGCAAAGGTGCGCTTGAGGTGCTTGTGCTTGTGCTTCTGCTTGTGCGACTGCAGCAGACGTACGTGTGGTGTAGCTTTGCTCCTGCATCGCATCTCGTCCCAGGAACGCCGCTTCTCAACGGCCGTGAACTCTCGCACTCGTCTTCCTCTGCCCCAGAGGCTGGTGATTTGCAAACACTTTGCCGCGCCGGGTCTTCGGCTGTGGGACCGGAAGCCGTTTCAACTGGAACTTTACGAAAGAGAAGAAAAAAAAACGTTGAGTCACTTGCGGGTATCCTAGCCCTTGAGGACTCACAAGTTCCCGTCTTTCCAGGTTTTCGTCAAGCTGGTTCGCTTCAGCTTCAACTCCAGCCCCAGGCCCCAGCCTCCGCCACGCCCCGTGACCAGCTCAACTCCATCACAGATCCCACCAAGAGGTAGAGGTGTTGGGCCTCAAAAATGTTTGCAGCTCGGTCCGGTCCTAGCTAGATCCGCGGAAGCCAAGCCAAGGCATGAAATGGGGATTCCTCTTTTTCCTTTGGGCACCTGGTCTGCCGAAACCCGGCCCAAGTGCTAGAACATTTGCCGACACGCGGTAGGCGAAGACCAGATGGATCGTATGTTTTCTCGCCAGTGACCCCCCCAGGCCCCCAGCACTCCAGTTCCTGCCCTCATGCCCCGCGGCTCTACTCGGTGGTGTGCTCGCCAAAGCTCTCATGTGCGTCCCTGAATCCGTCATGGAGGTGATGGCCCCCCACCCTCTGTTGAGGCCCTTCAGAGAGGTGCGGGACGACCCTGTCGGATTCTTCCTCGGCCCACCAACGCCGATTGCCTCTTCAGGTAATGCGGCGGAGGAGAATCTCTGCAGAGCTGTACACCACTCTTGGCCCTTTGTCTTGAAGAACCAATGGCCATGATCAATGGCCAACACTGTCCACAATTGTTGGTGAGAAGACGGGAGACGGACACGGGCGGGCTAGTGGGACGGACCGGCTCTTGTTCTTTGTTCTCTGTGCCTTGAGCCCAGTCTCCGCCAGGGCCCTGATGACCGCCACGATCTGGCCTGGGGCAATTCTGGAGCGGGTGAAAACGGCTGAGCTTGGTTGGCTCTGGCTGAATCCCGTTGTTTCGCCTCATCATGCTTGAGCCAGGCCTTGTTGGCATCGGACTGGAATTTGCCTCGTATGTGGTGTTACTCATCTTGCTAATCTCTAGCGGTCAGTTGGGAATTACGTTCATATCTCGCTCGTCTCATCTCATACCCCCCGTGTGACCCAGGCGGCCGCGGCCAAGTGCGTTCACATGAGCAGTTCGCCTCGAGGATCGTTAGGCTATCTGAGGTGCCACCGAGTAGTGCGTGGGACTGAAATTCACTGCACTGTATGGATGCCATCCAGTAATTGCCGTGGAGAAGAGAAAAGAGAGGGCGGTGACAGGTGCTTGTCAAAATTCCTCAACCTCGCAAAAGAGGGCCAAGAGGTGGGGTGATGCAGTAGACCGGTTGAGATGCATGCTGGGATCTGGAGCTTGTGCACTCTTGATCACACTAGGGCTTGACTAGCGCGGTGATGCTCGCTGTAAACCGTCTTGTCAGTTGGCAAACAGCTCCAGCTCCTGGCAGCTAAATCTGTGATAACGCAGGATGCCGTGTTCTTGCTTGAGGGTCGGCGAGATTAGTGTACGGCGCAGACGGTTGAGGGTGAGGGGTTGGTGAGCATGGTTGGTTCTCTAGCTGAACAATGTTGGATGGGGATATCCGATATGCACTCCAGGAACCAGCCTTGACTAATTGAGGTGTTGCAATGATGATCTCTGCGTAAAATGTTGATGCATCTGCGGTACCCGACGTGTAAAAATGCACATTGATGTGCCTGGTCAGAGATGCTATGCGATGCGATGTGACGGGATGTCTGCCGCATGCATTTCCAATGTCGAATAATGGGAGATCTCGAGTTGCGGGGTTGGATATTGAGATTCCCCGTGTTGCACAACTGCCAATTGTGGTGAGACGACACCAACCAGAGCAAAGCCCTACCCAACCTATCTACCTACCCTACGGAAGGTGAGGTAGCACAGTGACGGCAGATGAGGTGTCACACTGCCCTGGGTGCCGGGGAGGGGTGGCTCGGTGAGTGGTACAGTGCACGTGGAAACTGTATACCTGCGCTTGTGTAGACTACGGCTCGGAGAATGTGCTCCTCCAAACTTGCCCATTAACACAATCATGATAATTCTGTGTAGTGTAGGGTTTAGGAAATCATAACACCTTTGATAATATTAGACGAGGACTTGACAAGTGGCGATCTACGCTGTACAGCCGGGCCGAGCGAGCGACCGTTGTCAAAATCCCCGATCCGGCCCAGTCTGCGATTTGGATTCCTCTCTCGTCTATCTCCTCCCCTAGGGTAGGGCTGGTATGAACAACCACAACAACCACAACAACCACAACCCTCGGTTTGCGACAACATACACTAGAAACAAATGTCTCGGACCATTGGCTGACCGGTCTTGGCCTAGCTCATCGTCATTCCTCATCTTTACAGTCCACAACCTCCAACGTCTCGAGTTTGCCTCGCCTCGTGGACGGAGGGATGTCTCGAGTCAACCTGCTATCAAGGCGTCGTCAAGGCGTCGAGCAGGATTCAGAGCTTTGATGGCCATGGACTGGACAGATAATTTACTCACGATCCAATAACCATGCGAATACCCGTCTGGAGTCGCCGATTGGCCTAACGTCCGTCAATCGCAATCCTGCGGGGGTATCCGATCCCGCCTAGTCTCTCTCCCAGGATCCCTGGTCCTGGGCTGTGTAATTCACCCCAAACCCTGCCTGCGAACCCTTGCCCGTCCAGCATCGATTTCTTCCCTTGCTCAGCTTTCCTCGCCCAGGCGTGACAACTGCCAGCGTTGATCCCTGACATGCCTCGGAGAAGGAAACAAACGTGGAACTGGCAGCGAGGACGGCGAGAAAGTGGCTTCTTGCGCCGTCGCAGACTAATGCCTCGTTCCCGCTTTGCTTCGCATGCCCGTCCAGCCTCCAGTGCAAAT